AAATAATAGAGTTGGGCTGAGTGCTACTTCCTCTGATTGGCTGAGTCAAACATCATCTGCTTGCCTCTCTTTCTCAATCAATCAGAGGAGTCTTTGCATTCATCTATAGAATGCAAAGCTTCCTGTCAATGGCTGAACATTCTGGGAATGGGATGGGAAGTTCTCTTCCCACTGCCAGAACACATCGCTGTATGCTGTATATAGCTGAAGCTACATACAGCACCCCCCCCCCCCCAAGTACAGCTGTCAGTGCAGTAAATGCTTCATTTGGGTCAGCTTGGACATGAAGTTAAGCTTCAAAGCTTCATTGTATAACTTAGTTAAAAAAAATGTACCTAAAAACAGTTAATGGTAATGTAAACTCCTTCACTTCCCTCTGTGTTAGCTTTTATGCACAGGAGCCTGTGTGGGTTGTATTTTTATTCAATAACCCAACATTACAAAACAGCAAGATCAAAACTGTAGCAGAGTATTACATGACCAACACGCAAAAAAAAAAAAAACATACAAAGTACACAGCTGACTACATATTAATAAACGTTTAAAGAAAGCTCAAATATAGAGCACATTAATCAGTTATTCAAATAACTGATTCTGAATTATGAGTTAAATTGTTCTCCCCTTTTAACCTATATGCATATGTAGCATATGTTCTCTCCTCTTAAAGCTTATCTCTAAAGCGGATATTGTTACTAAAAAAAATCAAATACAATAATTTCTTCAGTACAAAAATATGTAAATCTAATTGTAGATGATACTAGGTTAAATAGCTGTATTTAATTTGGTATCAGCTGCTTGCTCTCCCTTGCAGAGAAGATCTCAGACTGAAACTTTGGGAGAGTAGCAGTAGTGACCAATAAGGTGTGCTTTATGTACATGTGACAATAGAGAGCATGCTGCAACAAAATGAGAGTTGACTTCATTTATGCCCTGCTTCTCTTTTACTGCCCAATTACAGAGAAAAGCGGGTCACCAACCCAACAGCTGAGTAAATCTCAGCATTGCATGGACAAAAATACAGATCATTAGCTGGTAAAATGGAGCTTTGTCTGTGTAGCCTTCTTTTGGAGAAGGGGGGGTAGAGTTACCCCCAGGTTGTTGCAGGTAACCAGTACAGGATATTGTGCTAAACCTGTAGGTACATAAGAGAACCCAAACCTTCTCGAAGTGGAAGAGTGGTCTTGATAAAATTGGAATTGCCTCTACCCAGGACAGGTTCTCTGTGAATAGAGGGCATTCCCTTCCTGGGAAATTCACCAGTAATCTAATCAAAGTAATTGGAAGCAGAAGAACCACCTTCTAGGGTGTTTATTACAGTCCGTATCTATGACACGGGCAGCAGGAGAGAAGAATTTTCATCATCTTTTTTAGGGTAACCATTTTTTTTAACTATGATTGTAGAAAGGAGTGGGAAGATCTTCATAAACCTATTTGTTTTCCAGTGGTTTTGTAGATATTTGTGTATAGGTCTGTGAGAGGTGAATGATGTCCTTTATTACAGGCAAGTGGATTCTAGGAATCCAGACTAAAAACTACACCTTGTCGCTGCAGAAAAGAGATTTTTGTTTACAGTTACACAAACTGATAGGTGGCAGCAGATTGGAAAAAAAAAAAATATATATATATATATATTTTTTTTTTTTATAAAATGAATTATAAAATGCCCTGTATGTCAATTACAGTTTGTTTTATTACATTTTGCAAAATATTTAACAAGAAAAAAATTAAAAATGTAATTGTAACAAAAAAATGACCCTTTACAGTTAGATGTTTTCTCTTCCTGCAACAGGAGGTGGCAGAGACACAGGTACTTTTACAGCATCACTATTAGTTTATTTGGTTATTGTAGAGTACCATAAAGGTCTGTATGCAATCAACAGGTTGAGGCATGATATTCAGGTTCTGCAACAAGTTGATATAATGAGACTCTATGGGAGGAGTCTAAGTACTGAGATGCGGTGGTTGGCATCCTGTGAGCAGTAAGTGGTCTCCAACGTAAAGACAGGTGTTAGAGGTTAGTGTCTTGGAAAACTTTGCAGACAATTGCATTATGCTCTTCAACAGATCAGCACTTGAAGCCTGAGAAGAGCATCTACTATTGGAAAGTGCAAGACACTTATGTGCAGCACTGCAAGTTGAATGAGAGAATTGTACCAGTTCCACACAGTGATCTAGCTAGTCAAAATAATACCCAGTCTATACTACTGTTGGATATTTCAAGTTGTGTAGTATACAGGCAACGTGTGTTCAGGTCACACTTCCAAAGCAACAGGTAACTACGGACATCTTTCTGCTGCCAATACTTCCCTTCTCTCTTCCATCCAGGCCTTGAGTAATTGAACTGAAAGTTAGTGGGACGACTTGATAAAGCGCATGCCGCAAAACACGTTGTCGTGTCGTCCAAGCCCAGCAGTCGACTTCCGCTTCCTCCCGAGAACCTGTGACATCAGTTCCGGAGCTCCATGGTCCCCAGCCGAGACAGCAGTACACCACCATTACCACCATCCCACATCACCGTCCGGGGGCATAAGTGAGTGGATATTCCACCTGGTACCACTGAGGGTCAATGCATCTTCTGGATGAGCTTTGCTCTTTTAATGTAATGCTTTTTATGAAGTACTTATGGAATAAAAGTATACCCCTTCTGATACGCATTGTGGGGTGAGTATCGATTACAAGCCACAGCTTTTTCAGCACTGGTTTTTTTGCAGTCATAAACATAACACAAAACTATCATGGATGGAGTTCGTCTGGGTCAGATTAGGGGCCCATTAGTGTCCCATTTTTCTTTCTGGATGAGGATTTATGACCCCCTAAACTCTAGGGTGGACATGGTATTAAATATATTTATACATCTACACGGTTGGTTTTTTCCCAACTCCTAACTCTTCTGATCATGCAGACAATGATTGGAGAAACATGTCAGGAAATTGGAGCTTTCCAATAGAGATCTGAAAATAGTTTATGCTATTTGGAATTAAATAGTGATTTGCTATCTGATAATATGTTAAAACAGGCTAACAGCTTGCATTTCTACTTATTGATATATACAGTACATATACAGTACAATATACTGTATATTACAAAGTAGCTGCAGCACTTGTCTTCTTTATTAATCCATCAGAAATAACAGACCAGAAACTGTTGCCAGTTTGCTGTCAACTTTGAAATTTTTAAACTTTGAAATTCTGTTATTTCTGATGGATTATTAAAAAAGATGAATGCTACAGCTACAGCAACTTGTATTATTTTGTACCATTGGCAAGTTCCAGCTGACAGCACCAGCATATGAACAACGGGTGTGTGGTATGCCTTCCATTGAATATATCATTTTTAACATTTTTATTTTGTTTGAAAAAAAAAATACAATGTTATTGTGCTACAAATAAAGGATACTAACACTTATGTCATATAATAACAATAATAATAATAACTGTATACATGTTTACCCAACATAGATCTTAACTAGTAGCCGACCGCAGATAGCCGAATGACGGCTGCACTGCGGCCGGCCAGTTCTGGGTGGACGTCATATGACGTCCTCCCAGAATGGTGGACGTCATATGACGTCCTCCCCTGGGGCGCGCACCCCGGCGATCTCCGTGATCGCTGTGTCCTACGGACACAGCTGATCACGTGATGTGGTAAAAGGCCAATCACAGCGGCCTTTTACCACGTGATCAGCGGTGTCCAATGACACGCTGATCAGAGGGAAATGCAAGTGCCGGTTCTCGGCTGCACTTTCCTCACGCTGTCAGATCGTGAGGAAAGTACTGCCGAGAACCGGCAGTTGTCAGAGCGGGGATCGGCACCGATCATCAGGGCACTGATGATCAGTGCCCTGATGATCGGTGCCCAGCAGTGACACCCGCAAGTTCCGCCCACCTGTGCCCAGCAGTGCGCCCACTAGCTCCGCCCACCCGTGCCCAGCAGTGCCCCCTCCTGTGCCCAGCGGTGCACCCACCTGTGCCACTCTGCAGTGCCACCTACCTGTGCCCAGAAGTGCCACCTACCTGTGCCCAGCAGTGCCACCCACCTGTACCCACCCACCTGTGCCCACCAGTGCCACCCACCTGTGCCCACCCACCAGTGCTGCCCACCAGTGCCACCCACCAGTGCAGCCCAGCAGTGCTGCCAGTCAGTGCCACCAGTCAGTGCCCAGGGGTTGTGCCAGTCAGTGCCACCAGTCAGTGCCCATCAGTGATGCCAGTCAGTGCCGTCTATCAGTACCCATAATCAGTGTCACCTATCAGTGCCGCCTATCAGTGCTGCATATTAGTGCCGCCTATCCGTGCCACCTCATTAGTACTGCCTATCAGTGCCCTTTAGTGCTGCCTATCAGTGCCCATCAGTGCCGCCTATCAGTGCCCATCAGTGCTGCCTCATCAACGCACATCAGTGAAGGAGAAAAAATACCTGTTTGAAAAATTTTATAATAGAAACAAAGAAACTTTTTTTTTTTTTTCAAATTTATTTGCATTTTTTTTATTTATAGCGCAAAAAGTAAAGCGCCCAGTGGCGATTAAATACCACCAAAAGAAAGCTCTATTTGTGAGAAAAAAATGATCAAAATTTCATATGGGTACAATGTTGCATGACCGCGCAATTGTCAATCAAAGTGCGGCAGTGCTGAAAGCTGAAAATTGGCCTGGTAAATAAGGGGGTATAAGTGCCTGGTAGGCAAGTGGTTAAAGACTATCTCATGACAAACCATCCACCTCACCAGATGCCCACCAACCCACCCACTGACACAAGCTTTAAAACATTTTATTTTTTATGATTCACTGGAGTCCACCGCCGTGTGACTATTTGTAGTACCTCTTCTGCTACTGAAGACTGGTGATCACCACTGCAATCTGGCTCTGCCCCCTTTTCGCCTTCTGTCATGATGTCATCATGCCCCTGGGGTCTTCAGATGGGCAGCCAATGGGAAGCAGAGTAGACACCGAATGTCCATCTACCTCTGAGTCCAGAAGAGGTAAGCCTCAGGACCTGGCACATCACCTGAACACAAATTCTGTAAAGCAGATCTAAACCTAACAATTTAAAATGTTACTAAACCCAAGACCCTGTATTCACTATATCTGGTCTCCCACAGTACACAGAAATATGGAAGAGCAATTATTTTAGTAAATATAAACTGCTAAATACCTTTTATCATCAGCAGTATGTAGCAGTCTTGTGTCCAGCTGAGCACTGGTTAATAGGAGGAGATTTCATTCTCCTCTCACTGTCCTATGAGGCCTCAGGACCCCTGACCGCTGTCTGGACAGTGTCTGTTGGCCCTGTGCATATCACATGCACCCTCCCAAAGAAAAAAAAAAACTCTCCAGCAATACACACCAAAGAGAGCATGTGCATAGTGCTCCCCCCTCCTCCCCCCCCCCCCCCCCCACCAGAGCCAGAACACACTGAGCAGCCCTTGCAGCCATTGACTGTGAGCACTGACCGGACACGGTCGGATGCTGGTTTTCTAGCATGCTGGCTCGACAGAAGCCAGTTATGAGACATGCTTCTGTCAGACAGGCTGCTGTGCACATGGGCAGATGGTTGGCCAGTTACTGCTGATCCTGGTGATTTCAGCCAACATCTGGCTTGTGTGTACCTGGCCTTAAAGCCGAATAGCTGCAGCATCAGACCAACGCTGCAGCATGGAGATGAGTATGTGTGTTTGTTTTTTTAGGTTTCCCATATTTCTCCTTTTAAGCTCCATCTAAACACAGGTTTGAGCTGATTTTTGTCTGTTTGTGTGTTTTTCCAAGTGCCAAGTTCTCTGCTCGTTCAGCTGGAGCCAAACATCATATGTAGCCAATGCCGGCTATAGCATTATGCCTTTCAGGGACATTTACAAACATGACTATGATTAATCCTTTTCCCCCTAGTGCCCAGTACTGGGACTGCTACATTATTTCCTGTTAACAGAGTGAATTTAGTTCTTCTGACTGCAGAGGATCTTGGAATCTGTAGTTCGCTGCAGGGACACATCGTGGGGCGAGCGCAGGGTAAGGTAAGTGAAGAAACACATGCCGGAGCAGTGCCTCAGGGTAAGCCCGAGTGTAGCTCGTTTACCCAATACATACTGTATTTCTGAGTGCTGATTGAAATACAACTACCAGAGAGTTGGCAAGCCAGAGGGATGCTGGGAGAGCAGATATATTCTACAGCAAGAGACTGGCTCGCTCTCTTGGTGCAAGATTCAGAGGTGAACACAGAGGGACTACCGTGCTGGCCTACTACTGTGGGACTCTGCACACCAGTTCAACACAGTGGTGATGTTGATCACCACAGCAGGATCTCATTAGTCTCTCTGCATTGCAACTGTCACTATCCAGTCTTCACACAGACTGCTCTGCTCACTGTGCTAACAAGCCATCAGGCGGAAACTTAGAACATCCCTGCAAACAGCCAAAAGCTTGTGCAAGAACTCTTGTTCCTAGGAGACCTTGCTATCCATGGGGTTGGTGAGCAGGCGGTACCCAGCCTCTTTTTGTCATCACTCTAGAGACACTGCGTGCACACACCTTTACACCTCAGTATCAGGAGATCTTTGCATTGAGCAGTACCACATCTGTTTAACTTCAATGAATTACCAGTATTCACTACTGTTTTGGACCCCATCATTGCTTGCAGAAGACAGTGGATGCAACCATATCAGGAACTTTAAACATCACAGGACTCAAGTTGCAATCTTTAGTTAAAGGGACCTCTTCTCTTCTAAGGCTATTGTTATTCAAATTAGGATACTATTATCTATTTATGCTGGAGTATACATTTACATACTTCTTTGCATCCATTATTGAAGTGCCGGTGGCCTAGAGGGAGCTGATAAGTCAACAACCCTTTTCCTCCCCCTCTTATTGCTGGTGTTGAAGTTTAATATGTGAATCTTACTACTCATGGCTGTATAATTTGCTAAACGTTGATAATTGATTCTTCCTACTTTACCAGTGTTCTATTTTTATGCGGTAACTGGGGTTGTATATCCTAAACCCACTATTCTTGTGGTATACTCTTTTGAACAAAACTAATATAGAGGTGTTACTAAAGAATTGTGTCTATTATTTCATACTGTTGAAATATGTCTGAACCCAGAGAGTAAGAGGTGTTGGGAGGCTTGAAAGGTCAGGGCAACCACTCGGGTCAAGAATTATCCAGGCATCCCCTGCGGGGGTAGTGCTACACATAAACACTTACTGGCCACTTTATTAGGTAAACCTGTTCAATTGCTTGGTAACACAAATTACTAATCAGCCAATTGCATGACAGTAACTCAATGCATCTAGACGTCGTGAAGACGACTTGCTTAAATTCAAACCGAGCATCAGAATGGGAACAAAAGGGTATTTAAGCGACTTTGAACGTGGTATGTTTGTTGGTCCCAGACAGGCTGGTCTGAGTATTTAAAAAACTGCTGATCTACTGGGTTTTCCACACATAACCATCTCTAGGATTTACAGAGAATGGTCCAAAAAAAGAGAAAATATCCAGTGAGTGGCAGTTGTGTGGATGAAAATGCCTTGTTGATGTCAGAGGAGAATGGGCAGACGGGTTGCTGCAACATTCAGATGGTAGGGTCAGAATTTGGCATAAACAACATGAAAGCATGGATCCATCCTGCCTTGTATCAACTGTTCAGGCTAGTGGTGGTGGTGTGGGGATATTTTGGCACTAGCAAGGTGTACCTAATAAAATGGCAAGTGAGTGTATAATAGCAGTCTTAGAGCTGATGTGGGATAGTGTCAGCATCACAGCATCCCACATTATACGTATTTTTGTTTTTCTTTTTTTTCCCCATACTTCTCTTTTAAAGTAATTAAGGCTTTTGAAGAGATTTTTGTTAAAAAAAAGTTAAGGTTGGTTTAAGGGTCTGAATTTTTTTTTTTTTATTCTTTCTTTTATGCTTTTGTTATTTTAACTTAAAATTACCCTTAAACATAATGGAACATAAATGGAATATTTCACCGTTTAATATTATTATGACTAAAGAATTTTATTGAAAATCATTGTATTATACCTAATAACCAGATATATCTATTTCAAATTATTGAAAAATTTGCAATAAGTGCAGTCAGTGGAAGCAAAACCTAGTTGTCCAAATCCCTGGGCAGGATATGCTGGGCATGTTGTTCTTTTTTACCCCTTTATTAAAATGATCTCACATTCACAATCCAGCAGTCGTATACAGCTCTCAGATCAGTCACAGCAACTACAAAATTTGCATAGTGCACGGTGAACCCTAAATAAACCGTCTGTGCCTTAGTTTACAGCTCTGGCATATAACTGGCAGGAAAAGAAGTAAAATCTTTGTGTGACAGACATCTGTATATGAAATGAATTTCATACAGCCGGCTTGATCAATTATTTACTTTCTCATCTGTCTCCGCCATTCTAGTACTTTAAAAAGAAAATTTCCCCCCTGCCATCAAAACTTCGTGCAGACAAAGGCACCATGAGGTTGAGAAAGGCTGACTTAATCCTCAACAAACATCAATGTAAATTTAAATTTTGATGTCAATTTCACCAACAAGCAATCTGAATGATAAAAGAGAGGGGTTTTTTTTGTATTGCACTGGCTTCAAGCAATGATCGCCCATAGCTGCAGTCTGTTTGTATCTTTAAGTCAGAAAATTGGAAATCTGTTTATTGTCAACAGAAAACGGCAACAAGAAGAGGAACAATCTTGCGAAAGCAAACAGTACACTCCCAAATGACCTCCGGACAGTCCTATCTCCTACCAACTCTGCTTCCATTAAAGATGTAAACTCAATCATTGAGTTCTTATATAAGCTGTACCATGTTAAAGAAAATCCTCAGTCTTAAAAAAATAACAGTTACCAGCTACAAATACTGTAGCTGCTGGCTTTTTTAAAAATGGCACTTACCTGTTTAGTGATCCAGTGCTGAACGGTTCTTCGCTGGTCTTGGGGACCCTGGCACCGGCATGTTTACTAAGGAAAGTTGGCTGTGACTCCTTGAGGCTTCACAGCCAGCTCCCCTATGTGACATGTAACAGAAGGTTGTGGGTGGGATGTCTGCTCTGATCATCTTGTCCACGGGTGTCAAACTGGTGGCCCTCCAGCTGTTGCCACACTACAAGTCCCATGAGGCATTGCAAGCCTGACAGTTGCAAGCATGACTCCCAAAAGCAGAAGCATTATGGAACTTGTAGTTTTGCAACAGCTGGAGGGTCGCCAGTTTGACACCCCTGATCTAGGTTGTCGGAGTAGTAGTGGGAGTAGGTACCTCCAAATAACGAGGTACCAATTCCCCCCCACAACAAAAAAAACAACAAAGTGGTAGAGGTGGGGAGATGTTAAAGTGGAACTTCCCTTTTAGGGAGAAGATCTGCTTTAATGTAATTTCAGAAGTTCCATGTACTTCCAATTATCAACAGTCAGTCCCTGTCTCTTAAGTGTGCTCCTGTGTTGTCATCCTGTCACATGCTCTCCCAGTAGAGAATACATGAAGCCTTACTGATGAACATTGCACAGACCACTGTTGTCACCATCAGGAAACCTGCCCTGATAAATGATGTGGAAAAGAAGTTGGGGTGCATGTTGACAAGAAGTTGATGCAAAGAGGCTGTAAGAGATTGGCAGCACTTAGATGCAACTAAGTATGGAGAAAAATATTAGTTATTCATAATACACTGTGCATTAGCAAACAAAATGTAATTCAGTTAAGCTGATGTCAGGTGGGCAGTTGTGCTGCTAGAGACCAATAACCAGCAACAGGACAGCTAAAAAGGTTGCCTGTCTGTCCTTATTGAATCGTTCCTTCCCTCTGTTGCCAGATGCATCAAGATGTTCCTCTGACGTTGACCAAACACTGCTGACTCTCGGTCGCTAATGATGGGATCTTGCTGCATTAGCTACAGTGCAATTGGTGATTTTGACTAAAAGCCAGCAGCAGGACTGCTAGTAACAAAGTAGGCTTTCTGGCCTCAACCCCCTTGTCACCTCTTCCCATGCTGGTGTCCAGGACTTCTACAGAACCTCTCTCATCCTCTGGAATTTTCTACCTCAATCTTTTGAATTATCTTCTACTCTTTCTGCCTTGAGGAGATGCCTGAAAACCATCACTACAAGGAAGCCTAT